TTGTGCTATTGATTTGACCAGAAAAATGTCGAATGTAATCGATCCAATAAAGCTCCTGACTGATAAAGGTGATCGCCAGCCGTCGTTTTTGAATGGCATATTTAATCCAATAGTGTGCTCCATACTTGGTTTCGGATGTGCCGTTTTCATAAATTGGGGTTTGAGGAAACCACCATTTTCTGGTATGCTTAATGTGACGTAACTTTGTGGAGAATCACTAATCTTCAGGCGACTAAAAGGCATATTATCTTTTGAATATCTAATCTTCTAGGTATACAGAATCATCTAGCTTTTTCCGGTATTGGTGGCGGCCTGGGTTTGTATTTCGACAATAAGCGCAACGAACATCTTGCCAAACGTGATGCTGTGCTGAGGCATTATATCGAACTGCATCCCGATGATTTTCCACCAAAAGGTAAAGAAGAATGAAGTGTAAATACTTTTGTATGTAGTATTGTAGAAACTAATGTTGCCTTATTTTAGAGCGCACGAAGTACGCTGATGTGCTGGAAGCTTGGGTGCCAATCCGATAAAGATGGAATAGCCAGCTGGGCCAATAATATTTGTAATCACTGCAAAGATGCAAACGAAAATAATTTGTATAAATCATCTTTATTGGATGTTCGAAGTATAACTAGTGATCAATAAAAAGTTGAAAAAGAAGTAAATATGCATACATACGTACATATTTACATATAAAGATAAAAAGTTTACATTTAATTATATGAACTACTTTTGAGTTAACGTTGTCTGTCCTAAACGGGTTAATGAAATGCATCAGTCTCTTGTATTTCTGAACCGTAGGAGATACAAGTATTCAATAGATATGCGCAACTATTAAAAATTGGTTGTTGTTGTTGTTGTAGCAGCATACAAATTCCCCAAAGACTTTTTGGGGAGTGTTGCTGGAGTGACAGTCCTTGGCCAGATATAAATCTGGGTCGTTCCGGTTACGTAGACCCGACTGTCGTGGGAACGACATTGGTATTTCTTCATGGTTTCGCATATTGATATGAGTTATGATCTGGAAATAAAAGGTACTGATGCATTGCATTCATGCGTTTAGGAAGATAGCCTTTTTCTACGGGACTGGAATTATAAGCGCTTAATTAAGACCGCCTAGGAAGGTACCCAATTTCCAAAAAAAATATCTGCTTACGATCGACTCTCAATTAGGTTACCTACATTTACTTTTCAGATAGTTTTCTAGCCAAGCAATCCAAAGGTGGCACGGAAATACTTGAACACGATTAGCCTTCCAATTGAAAACTTAAAAAATGGCGGTGGAGTCATTTCCATTACTCCGTGTATAGAAAGCAATAAAGAATGTAAATAATTATGACCTTAGCTTTAGTTGACACAAAGCACATTAAACGCGGTCATTAAGTTATAAGAACTGAATACGAGTATGTATTTTCTTCGGTGACATTTGGTTATGTTTCGGAATCGCTGCCAAACAAAAGCCATTATATAGCCTTTTCCTACCTACACCAATAAGTAGGCCGATATATTGTCACCTCCTCCCTCCTTTTTGTGAACTCCTACGCGCAGGCTCAGAAATAAACCGTTATACGAGTTCACCAACAAGCGATTTGTTGTTGTAGGGGTTGTTTTTCTGATCCAAGAGTAACCACAAAACAGACAGAGACAGTTGACGCCACTGTAGAAACTTTGCAATAGTCAGTTGAGATTTAGATGTTGAATGGTGAAAATCAGTAGGACGGAGAACGTGCTTGTGTTTTGAAAGAAAAAAAAATTAAAATTACAATAACAATAAGAAATTCAAATGAATAATTAAATCTAATAAGTATTGACCAAGAAGAAAAATAGTTGAACGTAAAAAAATTTAACAAAAAATTTATAAAGTTTATTGTAGTACAAAACCAGAAAGTGTTACGCAGAAGGCATATGGACAGTTTAGTACTGCAACGGTAGATTCCATCTTTATGATGTTCTCTCCTTTCTCTGGAATTCATCACATTGGTTACGATGTTAATACTTGGCTGTAAGAATGTTAAAAGTAAAAATAAGTGTACGGTTAGTTAACTGTGATGACTGAAAATTTATTGGAAATGTTTTAAAAAAAAACGAGTGATTTAATTTAGTATTTTTTCTTCTTCGTATGTAACTAAAATAAAAAAAATTATCAAAAAGTTATTAAAATAAAAAATTGAAATCGAAAACCATAACGAAAAAAATTTAATTAACTAATGAAACAAGTTAGTGCGCACTGTGCCGATATCCTCAATTGCTGTACTGCGTTTTCTCGCTTATCGCTCATGCAAACCGGAAATCGACTCGCAAACAAGTCAACAAATAAACAGCCACCCCCCAACTGTGAGTAAACGTGCAACCGAAAGCGTACAATATTGGCTGGCCATTAGTCAGGCTTCGGAATAAGGAGGCTTACATTGTATTATTTGCTTCGACCAATATTTGTGCCATGCAATTGTAACCGTTTGTAAGCCAGCCGTTCGCATAAGTGCGCAGTAGACCATTAGTGGCGT